ATTTTACTCCAATCCACAGTTAACATTTATGGAAACAGTAATCAAGAGAGCAAACTGAAGTCTGGCATTGAGTAAATCTGGGACCACTTTAAAGGGTTAATGGCAAAAGTGTCACTTTGAGGACTGCTGTTTCTAGGCCACACTGAGTCAAGTATGACTCACAGAGACTCTACGAACAAAAGATCTGAACCCTGTCCTATCCCTCTGCCATCATCAAAATCTCTGATACACTTCACGAGGCCATTGCCACAGTCACAGTATTCACCTGGTCAAGGCCCTTCCTTTGAGGACTAACTCATGGTATTTCCACTCACCTTACAGGCAAGTGAAATCTGACTAGCAAACAAAGACAATTTTGGAAAACGGATGCTTCTAATGATGGTATTGGGGAAGATGTTGATTGCTATGGACTGCCAGGAAAATAAAGATCTGTTTTGAAAATGTATACAGTGCTCCTTAGAGGTGAAGATGGCGGGAGTTTTTCTCATGTACTTTAGACATTTTCTAAATTATTCAGTGCTACTCTAGTGGCCTAGTGGCAAGAAGCTGCACTGTAATCCCAAAGGCAAGGGGTTCGAGACCACTAGCTTCTCCACGGGAGAAGAATAGGCAATCTCTTCTCGTGTGATTAACTGCCTCTGAAAACCCACTGGAGGGTCAGCGATGGGTTGGTCTGACTCTATGGTACACAACACCACCACCACCACTCTAAGAGAAATATCACAAATGGATAGCTTTAACAATTAAAAACTTATTCTCTCATAGTTCAAGATGCTAGAAGCTGAATTCCAGAGGACAGCTCAAGGGGAACATGTTCTCTGTCTGCTGGTTCGGGAGGAAGGTCTTTGTCCTCAGTCTTCCTGAGTCTAAAGGACAGACTCCACTCCCAGCTCTTCTTGGGGATAGGCTCTCTCTGCTTGTTCTTTCTTCTTATCTCATCTAAGAGAAAAGGCAAAATAGGCTACACCCCAGGGAAACTCCCCTAATATGACATCAGGCTTGTGACTTGATTAAGGGTGTTAAAGCCAATCTTAATCCCTTTACATCAGATTGGGGCTGAAAACATCAAATGGTTTCATGAGAAATGATAATATCATTACATTACTGCCAAATTGCTGAGACCCCACCGCCCGGCCACGCTGGCACATATTTTGAGGGAACCCAATCCAATCCGTGATGGACATGGTAAAGTAAAAACTCAACAAAAAAGAGGCAACCATGAGATGGACTGGCAAAGTGGCCACAATCATGGGCTCAAACAGGAGAAGATGGTTCGAACTAGGCAGTGTTTTGCTCTGTTGTCCATGCCGTTGCTATGAATCAGAACTTTTTAACAGCACCTAAGAACAACAAGAAATCTTTACCAATCTAAAAACTGAGGTTCCTAAGAGGTTAAGCAACTTGCTGAAGTTTATCAGAGCGGTAAAGGGTGGAGCCTAGACCGGCACCAACACCTCCCATCTGGTATAGATCCCATGGTTGTGGATGGTTTTATGTTTAAATGATTTCCCTCCCCACTTGACTCTGAACTCTTCCAAAAGCTTGCCATTTTCACATCGAAGACATCCAGCCCAGTTTCCACCCACAGTGGGCATTTAATAAATGTCCACTGAAGGCCAACAGTGACCATCCGACCTCTTTCAGCCATGGTTTTTGCACCAGCCCAAAGTATCTCTCTCAGTCGGGTATTACCCGTGCTGTGGAACTTTAATTTAAGCAGCTTGATTACTGCTGCTAAACCTAATTAGAAACGTATGACACATCTCATTTCAGACCAAGCTCTACTGGGAACCAATCGCAGAAATGCAATTCTAACCCTCAGGGGAAAGTTCAGTAGAACAAGACCTTTGGCTGGGTACAGAATGGGGCGGGATCTTTTACTTGTCTGTGTAAAGGACTTTCATTTGTCAGGGGCTGGGGGAAGGTTAGATTTTGCCTGAAGCAAAACTGTTGGCAAAGAAACTTCAGAAGCAATAATGCAAGCACAGCAGAATAAGGACGCTGGCAACTGGTCGACACACTACAGATGCACGTATGCAGACTTGTCAGAATGCTAGTGCTAGCTAGAAAGGACTACTCTGCCTTTGTTTCTGATTTCAATCTTGAAGCTAAATTAAAGGCTGTGCGTCTTGAACAAAACGAGCTCTGAGGAAAAGTGGAATGAACTGCAGTGAACTGGAAAATCTCAGCTAGGTGAGACAGCAGACAGCACAAACCAAGATGGGAAGTTTAAACACAAGCATGTCACTAATGGTTATAAACCCAAGTACTTAATGGCCTAAGCATCCAGTTACAAGAATGTCTACAAACCCATAAGTAGATAGAACCCAAAAGGAAAACATGGGCAAATTACTTGAAAAGACATGTCCCACGAGAGAAACTCAGATGGGACAGTCAATAAATATCTTAAAGTCTCTAACCTCAATTTATAATCAGGAAAATACAAAATAACACCATAACATTACACATTCCGCAGACCAAAAAACAAATACATTCAAAAGTCGGTAGCAAGAACGTGGACTTTTGGAAACTCTCATATACTTTTCTCTCTCTCTCTCTCTCTCTCTCTCTCTCTGTGTGTGTGTGTGAGAGAGAGAGAGAGAGAGAGAGTGTTTTCAATTCCATTTCTCTCTCACATTGCTTTCAAATCAGAATTGAGCTGACCTCACCATCAGTTCCAAAGACTATGAATCATACAGGAGATGACTGCCCACCCTTCTCATGTGGCGCTGAGGTGGATCCGAACCACAAGAAGTGGGGCCTTTGAGTAAGCAGAGCAACTCCTTATGCACGGTGCCATCAGTTTCCTCATATACAACAACCTTACCCCATTGGAATTGAGCTAATTCTGTATTCTATAGGACAGAGAACTTCTTTAAAAGGCTTCCAAGGCCGTACATTTTTATAGAAGCAGACTGCCACATCTTTCTCCTGCAGAGGAGCTTGGAGGTTCAAACCATCAGCCTTCTAGTTAGCAGCTTAGAGCTTAAGCACACCACCACCAGAGCTCCTAGATACTACTTACTAGTAGGAGTCCATGTTGGAAACAAGAAATTTTTATAAGATCTTGCTGTTATTTGATAATTATGTTCTATGACCCCCCAATTCCACTCTTATTTATATATCATCAGTGTATACAATGATGCACATTTGTATCACAGTAATACTCTAAAGAACGTTCATTTCAAGAATGTCATTAATATTCTAAAGAGGGGAACAGCCCACGTTCTCCATCGACAGCAGAATGGATAAATTATATAGAAATGTAGGATGAAAGTTATACAAGTGTCCAGGTCTTTCATTCATAGGGTCGCTATGAGTCGACTATGACTCGACGGCACTTAACAACAACAGCATAGAGAGAGATCAGTTGGTCTATTGGACAGAAAGTGATGCTACCAAGCCAAAGGTGGATGACTCTAATCCGTGAACCTCAGGCATGCTTTTAATTGTTTTTTGGTCAACATTCTTCTAGGTCATATAGCCCTGGTCTGTCTACTTCCTGTACAGAGGTAACTCGTGGTTGCTGTGATGCTGAACACTGTGACACTGATGTGCCAAATGTGATAATGGTTATCCATGATGGACGGTGTTTGGTGGAGCTCCCCAATTAAAACAAGCTTAGAAGCAGGAGTGGCATGCACTTCTGAAATGGTATGCCTCCGTAAACCCTATGATCCTGGAGAAAGGATGAAAATTATACAAGTGTTCAGGTCTTTCATTCATAGGGCCGCTGTGAGTTGCCTACAACTGATGGCACTCAACAACAACAATGACAACAATGAAAATTCATTTAGCAGTGGAAATAAACAGACATATCCAACAACAGATAATCTGCTGATTGAGAAGAGCAAGGTACAAAAGAACAAAGACAATAAAATTTCTTTCATTTAAAGATCAAAAGCAGGTCAATTAAACTACAGTGTTTGGGGAAACGGCACAAGTGTAGAATTATCACAAAAAGCCTAGGAATGATTGTTCTCAAAGTGAGACCAGTGAGGAGGGAGGGACTGAGCATGTGGAGTGGCTCTCAGGCCGGCTGGGCGCTGCTGGCATTCCACCTCTTGACTTTGGTGATGATTTTATGGGATTTCACCCATTAACACTTTTAAAATTATATATATATATATAGTCACTTTTCTGTCTATGTTCACAAAAAGAAACATTCCTGCATACTTCAGAAAAAGAAATTAATGTAGAGCAACGTAAGACAGAAACAAAACAAAAACGGTAGTTGGAATGACTTTTCTATCCCTGAAAAGAAAATTATGGGTTAGTCTGAAAGAGGCTGACTTAATTATGTGCTACTTAAAATTACCTGGATGGGAATTAAAACACAGCTATGGAGAAAGAGCAGGGCACTCTGGTGACCCAGTGAGTAGGGAGTTGCACTGTAAACCCAAAGGCAGGCTGTTTGAATCCACCAGCCGCTCTAAGGGATAAAGATGGGTAATCTCCTCTCACTCTACTACACAGGGTCTGAAAACCCACTGGATGGTCAGCTATGAGTTGGTTCCCACTTGACAGCATCTAACAACAACATGGAGAAAGGCAAGACTAAGAGGTTGAGGGTAGAAAGGTAGAAAGGGTAGAGGCTGAGGAAGAAAACATCAATGAAGACTTGTATGGGCAGCAAGAGAGGCTGTATTCAGGGGTTTATGTGTGGAACACTCCCATGAAAGGCAACCAGCTCCCCCTCTTCCTTCATCCTTCAAGACTCAGTGCAGATATGACTTTCTCTGTAAAGCCTCGCCTGCCTCCAGGGTGGTTAGTCAGCCTGTCTCAGTCATCCCTTTGCACTGTGCACTTTCATCACTGGCACTTGTCCTTGCCCTGTTGCAATGGTTTACCTTCCTCCATGAGCTCTCTAAAGGCAGTGAGTCATCTCTGAATCTGGCCAGGACCTTCCCTCCCTTCTAGCACTCAGCTCATTACCGTACAAGCAGGGTACCCTCAGCGAACGCACGCTGGATGACTGAGCAAACTTGAGAATGCTTTACCTTCAGCTGTAACTCCTTGTATCTCTTGGACATCCGAATGAGCAACTTCTCCCCACTGATCACAGCAGATTTTTCTTGGTAATACTGGACCATGGCCTGGGCAGCTTCTGTGTAAGCCATCTCTAAAAAGGCCTAGATAAACAAGAAGCATGCACGATGGGCTTTTAGACTTTAATAAGCTTCAAAAATTTCAGTACAAGGTAGAACTTCATATTTATTATGTTTAGTCAGGAAGAGGTAAAAATTAATAGATAGCATAGAATACAGATGTGTGCTTACAAATGGGGTGGAGGTGGGGAACTGACCAGATGGAGCACTAGAAAGCCTTCTGAGTATCTGGAAATGTCCTATATTTTGATCTGGTGGTAATTACAGATGTACACACACGTTAAAAATTTATGATGTTGTCCACTTAATATTAATGCACTTTAGAATATATATTTTGTACCTCTATAAAAGAAAAAAAAAATCAGTACAAGGAAGAGCTCTCTTTGATCTCGTCTGTTCAAAGAGACTCATTTATTAGCTTCAGCAAAAGAGCTCATCCTAAGACAGCCCCTCTCCTCATTCTCATGGTCACTAGACATAATTTCTTAATTATATATGCCCATCTTGGGCTATATCACACCAGGGAAGACCCTCAGGGAGGGGATGTGCTCATTAATCTCCAGTTCTAGGCCTTGATAACCTTGGAAAGCTCACAGTTTGGCAGTAACCATGGCAGTAGACATAAACCCTTCTTGCTGAGTCCTCCAAAATCCAGGGACTCACCGGGTCCATGTCTACAGGAAAGGCTGCATCGATATGCGTTAATGAGGAAAAGTCCAATTATGTTTTCACAGTCTCTTTCCTCTGTATTTAACTGGCTTAATAATACAAGTATAAAGAAAAGGCCTTCCCCAGTCAGTCTGTGTCTACTCCCGAATAGAGTGCTTTAACGGGCCTGTCATCTGTCCCAGTAGCTGCTGGGGTGGATTTGTTGCTGTGCCAGTAGTTTCTTAGTTTGTTAGGTCTGTATATTCTGACAATGTACTCATTCTGCTCTCTCTATGTGGAGAGGTGTGTGACAATCAAGCCCTCACTGGAAGCTCCTACCCCCTCCTTTCTTTGAGCTGAATTATCTCTTACAACAATCTAAACAAACCCATTCTCTCTCCTTCCCGTACATTCATGTTTGAATTTCAGACTGCCTGCTTCACACTGTCACAGTAGAAGTAAGACTCAGAAGTCAAAATTCTCTTGGGCTTTATTCCCAGTTCTTCCAACAAGCTTCCTCCACGCCTCTTCTTGACGCAGACATCTTAGTGTCTCTAGCTTTTACCTATCAGATGGGAATAATGTTAATCTAGTGAGTCTCACTGCATTTCTATTACAAGTTGCATCCTGGATATTGACCAAAACAGAATTTCTGAGACGAATGTATATAGTATGGTCCATGCCCATGATGTTGGTGGAAGACCACCGATGAGCAGGTGAGGCTCTGCATCTCCAAGGTTCATGCTTTGGTTAGGAAAAATCCTTTCCTATGCCTGCTCCTCTGATAAATATATAAAGTAACAATGCTGATTAAAAATAAAGAATAAGGTAGCCTGATTTCTGCCCATTCACTGCCATGGACTTCCCTTTTGACTTCGTTGGTGGTGCATGGCATTGAGTGAGAACTGACTCATAGTTGACCTTCCAGTGATGGTGGATTTGAACTGAGTGCCTTTGAGATTGCATTGCAGCTTCTTATCAAATGAAAACATAGTGAGTCCTCATGGGGAAAGGGCTCATAGTTCCTTAAGACATAGTAGGTGGCCACCAACTCCCATTTACTTTCCTACTTTGGGACCCAAGGACCTTACAGGCTAATCTCAAGCAGCAATAAAAATACCTGCTTTCAATCAGTTGTTGATTTGGCGGTTTTTTTGAGGGTGTTGTTTTATCTTTCTTCTTCACTGTCTCCAAACCTAGGCTTCTAAATATGAGAAGCTCAGAAGATAAGACTTTACAAGAGTCTAGTAACTCAGTGAGTCAAGTTCACAGATTTCAATTCTGAGGATTAGATTTTCTTCTCTAATGAGAAGCTTATTCCAAGGCATCCTCTCACCTCTGGGCCAATCACAAAAGGCTGTAGCCCTCAGAGTGGAGAAAAGATAAAGGGGAGAAAAACACTATCACCATCAAAGGCTCTTTATGTTACCTTAACAAAAAAAAAAGGAAGGAGATAATTACCCATCACCACTGTGTGGTCTAGTCCGAGCACTGGTACATGCGAGTGCCCAGACCTACCTGATTGGTGGACTTCATGAGGATGTAATTAGTGACCTTCCCGAAGGGCAGCCCCAGGTTAATGACGTCATTCTCCGTGCAGCTTCCTTCCGGGAGATTGCAGATGTGCACCACGCGGCCAGCGCCCTCTTTCCGTTGCACAAACTAGAGGGAATAAAAAGCAGGGGCTCGTCTCCAACAGGCATTTCCCTCTTTGCCTCGATTTCAGATACTCCTGGTGGTTCTCATGCCCCAGTGAGTCACCGCAAAGCTGCCATTTATAAAATGAGCGCATAAAAAAGAGAACTCAAACTAAAAGTCACTATTGAGGCTACCTCTTTACAGAAAGGGTTCACAGCATTCTTGTTAGTTTTTTTTTAAATTAATTTTAATGAAAGTTTACAGAGACTTAGGGTTTCCAGTCATTCACTGTTGCACTTTTCTCCCTGGCCACCGCCTTTCCCCCAATTCACTCTTTTCCTTGAAAGGAAAAAGAAAAAAATCTTTCATTGTTATGCAATCCCTCCCCTCCAAGTCCACTCCACTATGTAGCCTTCACTCTAGACTTCTGTAATGACAAGAACACTCATTCATAAGTCCCTTTTAAACAGTTCTCTCCCTCATCTGTTTCAATGCAATATATACATCATTCCTCCCCTCCTTTTCTGTCTTCCTTCAACCCAGATGTCAGTCCAGTTTTACAAGAATGGCCCTATGCAATATTTCTCCTTTTGCGACTGAGATATTTCACTCAGCATAATGTCCTCCAGGGTCATCCATTTGGCATAATATTTCATGAGTTCCTTGTTTTTTTAATGCTGCATAGTATTCCATAGTGTGAATATACCAGAGCTTCTCTATCCATTCATTTGTTGACAGGCACTTGGGTTGTTTCCAGTTCTTTGCTACTGTGAGCAAAGCCGCTGTAAACATGGGTGTGCATATATCTGCTTGGGTGGCAGTTATGGTCTCTTTAGGGTGATTCACAGCATTCTTAATGAGGAGTAATAATATTCAGGGCCCTATAAAGGACCAGAAACGATTCTTTTTCACATGTTGTTTGTCAGTGGGTGCATATTGACAGCCTCTGAGAACATGTTGTTGTGAGTTGCTGTCCGCTTAAACTCTGACCAATTATGACTCCATTCACAACGAACAAATGCCATGCAGTCCCGTGCCACTCCCCTGACTGGCCGTGGCTTAGATTGCTGTCATCCATAGGGGTTTCCTTGGCTGACTTTTGGAAGTCGTTCACCAGGTCTTTCTTCCTAGTCTGTTCTAATCTGGAAGCTTTGCCAAAATCTGTTCAACATCACACCATGGACAGACAGATGGCAGCTGCGCTTAGGTGCTCTGGCCAGGAATCGAACTCATGTCCCCAGCACAGCAGCTGAGAATTCTTCTACTAAACCACTAACATCCTTTTGAGAACATACTTCCACAACACTTAATAAAATATAAAATATACATAGTCTATCATCTTCTCATCTCAGTTTTGGAAATGGAGTCTAGAGAAATACAGGCCCTTGTGGGTTAAGACTTATATCCAAGGTTGTAAATGGCAATAATTGATGAGGGAGCAGAACATTTGAGAAAAACTCCAAATGTCCAACAATAGGGAAATGTTTGAATGAGTGATGATTCCAGCATACAAACCAATGCCATTTAATTGCCATTAAAAAGAGGTAAATATGCGCATATGGACTAATTTTCAAGATTAAGTTAACAAAACACAAACAAACCCAGTTGCCCAGTAGCATGAATAGTATGATTCATTTTGGTAGAAAGAAAAAAAAATTCCATGTACAAAAAAGGCTGTCTGAGGCAAACACTGCAACTTTTTGCTGGCGATTGGAACTGGAGGGCGGCATGTAGGGGTTAATGATAGGCTTGCTATCACTGTGTAGTTTGGAAATGTTCACAATAAAAAACCTTCAAGGCTATATCAACACAGGCAGAGAAAGGTGTGGGGGGAACATGGCAGCTCGTCAACACTGGTAATCTTCAGAGGGTAGACATGGGGACGAGGGAGGAGAGAGCTTAGTCTTTTCCTTATGTACTTCTCTATTGCTTGATTTAAAATTGTTTTAAAATTTCAGAAAGAAGGAACACGGTAAGGAATTGCAGGAGGCAGGTATGTGCACAGGGAACTCTGGTGGCCGAGTGGTTAAAACACAGAGCTGTTAAGAGAAAGGTCGGTGGTTGGAAGCCACCAGCCACTTCATAGGAAAAAGATGTAGGACTCTGCTCCTGTAGAGATGAGGGCTCTGGAGACCCTACAGGGGAGCTCTGGTCTGTCCTACACGATGACTAGGAGTAGGAATCGACTTGATGATAACGGGTTAATAAACACGCAATTAATTGTTTGGTTGCTAACTGAAAGGTTTCCAGTTAGAACCCACACAGTGGCTCCAAGGAATACCGATGTGGGGATTTCCCATAAGTATTGTTGCTATGCACCATCGAGCTGGAACTGACGCAGAACTGACCCTCCGGTGGGCTTTCAGAGGCTGGAAATCACATGGGAGCAGACTGCCATCTTTCCTCTGCGGAGCTTCTGGTGGATGTGATCCTCAGACCCTTGGGTTGGCAGCACAACTCCCTTACTGCTAGGTCACTAGCGTTCCCTCCTGTTAAGATTACAGCCCAGAAAACTCAATTGGGAAGTCATCCTCTGTCACATGTGGTCACTGTGGATCGGAAATAACTCAACTGCACTCAACAATAACACACGCACGTGCACCCACACACATCCTTTCACAGTAACTACTTGTGGTCTAGTAAAGTGCTTTTCAAAATGTTTTTTAGCCTGGAAATCTTTTCCTCGAAGAAAATTTTACTCATTAGCCCAATATATTCCACAAATAAAAAAAGGAAATGTTCTAGTCAAGCCCTGGGGTCCAGCACCCACTCATACCCCACACTCCCTACCTGGCAGCCCTAGAGGCACCTCTAAGGACCTAGTTGGGAACTCAAGATTTGGGCCATTTGGATCAAAGCTCCTGGGAGGAAGCAGTGTGTCTGCCTGGTTCCTGCAAACATCAATCAGAGCCTGAAATCTCCGGAAAGTTCAAAGATTAGTAACCATAAGTCAACTTAGCATGGAAGAGAAGGGTGCAATTCCCTAGCCCCGAAACCTAGAGCCTGTGTTTGCATAATCACCATTTTCTAGGGAAAATGAACTTCAACATCTAATTATATTTCCTGGTGGTCTGATTCTGCTAAGGTATCACACACAGAGGGATGGAGCCATGGTCCCCTCCCTAACAAGGGCTAATACTTGGGTAATTCCACCACGAAAAGCTTTCATTTGTCTCATCTGCGCTGAAGACAATTAGAGGCAGTATTTCCTTTTATGGTTCAACCCTGAATTGGAGAAACCCAAATACCCCCTTCAGACCTCTCCTCTGCGATGCCTCGAGGTCAAGCATTTTCTTACAGTGAAACCATTCTGTGTGAGGTACAGGCAGCTCCCTAAGAAGGCCAAGCCTCCTGCAGGGAAGATGGTGTTCCCCATCCTGGGAGTCCAGGCCTGGCCAACAGGCCTCCTCTGGAAGAGGTGAGCTCTTTCTCCTCATCAGGGTGAATGGTCCACATAATAGCACAGAGCTTTCAAGCAGGGCAGAGTGACCAGTCCTCCAGGATTACCAACAGGGGGCTGAGGTCGGGCACCCTGTTCAGGTCTTCTCTTAGCAAGGCATCTTCCTGACCCAGGTGGCTTTGTTGTACTTGACCTGCACATGGACAACAGAGCAGACACAGGGACGGGGCAGTTCTGGTCTCATTCCAACTCCTTGTCCAGTTGCCTAGTGACCAGGCCTTTCCTCTCCTTCTTTCCAGACTGAAACAACTTAAGAGGCTTTGAGTTGAGCATGTACTTAGCCACCGCTGCGGTACTGTATAAAACTCACCTCCCAAAGAACAAGGCCCTGTCCCATCACCAGGCAACACAGAAGGGGGTATTCATGTGCAGGCACACTTATAAAAGCATTGACACGAACGTCTTTTCAATTAAAGTCTTGACTCAAATTAAGAAAAAAAACAACCAAATAAACTCCCTGTGTTCCCACATAAGCAGTTTGATGCTGTACAGTAATTCCCAATCTGGGATGTCTACAGCCCTCAAGGGTTACAGTATTGGGGGGGGGAACCTCTGTATTATCTTTGACTTTTCAAAATCCCCTGCTGAGATTAGCCTTTGTGTTTCTTTACTCTGTCTGTAGTTGATCTGGAAGCCTGAGCGGTCTGGTCATGTCTTCGATGAATGAAAATGAGTAACTGATTATTCACTTACCTAGAAGTAAGCATGCAGGAGAAAGATGGACAATCAACGTCCGTGCTACTCCGTGGGTAAGGACTTGACCACTAACCAACAGACTGGAGGTTCAAACCCACCAGGTGCTCCACAGGAGAAAGGTGAACCTAAGTTCTTCCAGAAAGATTTACAGCCTTAGAAACGCCATGGGGCAGTTCTTCTATGTCCATTAGGGTCACAGGCTCAACAATAGATGTAGTTGGTTTTGATAGGAGTGGAGACCTAATGGCATTGTTGACCAAGTAAGTGTTAGACTGTTAACCAAAAGGTCAGCAGTTCAAAGCCACTAGCTGCTATGAGGGAGAACAATGAGGTAGTATGTTCTCACTAAGAGTTACAGCCTTGGAAACCCGACGGACGGTTGCCAGGAGTGGGACATGACTCAACAGCAGTGCATTTGGGTCTTTCTTTTCTTTTTAAATTAATTTTGAATGAATGTTCTTTTAAAATTCATTTTAATGAACGTTTACAGAGATTTTGGATTTCCATACATTCATTGTTGCATTTTTCTCCCTGCCCATCCCTCCCGCATTTGGATTTTTCAAGTTCAAGATTCCCTGACGTAGTAGAAAGATGGAGCCTGGAAAGCCAGAGGACCCCAGTTCTAATCTTAGACTAGCCACTCCTTAGGTTTGCAAGGGCAAACTCAATTCTCTTTCTGGGTCTTAGTTCTCCAGTGTCTGAAGTAGGGGAGGTGGTCCATATCTTAAGTTCCTTTCAGTTGCAAAAGATCTATACTTATGTGGTTCTAAGTTTAAAATTCCACTCCTCCCAGAAACTTTGCCAAGCTAACCCTGAGATTTAGGATAATGATAGCTTTCCTCAACTGTGCTTGGCATAAATAGGAAAC